GTACGTATTCAATTGACTGACCGCCATGGCAGTGGCCTGTGGCTCGTCTTCCCCTCCTACCTCATCTACGTTATGGGAGGCGAAATCATAGATGGTCTAGCAGCTGCGTCGACAGGCGTGCCGGCTAAATTCGAGTAGACGACTGCTCATGACTATATGGGAGGGATGGATGTAGATAATTCCAGATGAGAGCGTAAGCGAGCATGCGGACATGAGAATGAAGTATGATATCTGTGGTAATAGGGTATACCCAAGTTCCTAGTCGTGGATCGAAAAGCTGAATATATATACCAATCAATTTGAACATTTTACAAGCTCTATTCCGACATTCTCCGGCCGGACTCTGGATCTCATACCCCTGAAAGTCAACGTAGTATGTCCCAGGCCCCTTGGATGCCCATGTATGTCACTTAATGAGTCAGACCAAGAACGTACGCCATTCCAAGCGCCTAACCTAAAGGGCGAGCCCTACTATAGGGGGTATCATTCACCATAACAGGAAAAGCATACATGTTAACCTTCACGCTCTTCAACCGCGTCCCTTTCGACTTTCCTCGTTACCCCCCTATCTCCGCGCCCCGGCGCCCGTCCTCAACCTCAGCGGCCCCTGCGGACTCAACTCCGTCAGCCCCCCCAGATCATTATACTGCTCCCACTCCGTCTGCACATCCGCCGTTTCTGGCGTCCAGCTCGTCGCCTTGACCTCCATAACGGCCTTGACGTGGTCCCACGCCGTCGGCGCCTGCGGGGCCGGCATCTCGATGTGCTGCGACGCCGCGCTGGCCTTGCGCCGGAGGAGAAGCCCGCACCCGGCGTCTTTGTTGCGCAGGAGCAGCCCCGTGCAGCTCGGCGCGGTGCGGAGCGTGCGCGCGGGGTCCTGGCTTTTGGTGAAGGGATGATGCGGGGGCGCGTCGCTAGGGCTCTCGGGCGCGGAGGTGTCGGAGGTCTTGGCCGCGCTGCTTTCGTCCGAGTGTCGTGGGTCGGAGACGCTGGAGGAGCGTGACGGTGATGTGGATGTGGATGTGGATGCTGGGTCCTCTTCCTCGGCGATGGTCAAGCGTGTCCCTGGAAGCGGGGCGTCGACTAGTGAGGCTTTGATGGCGTTTGCTCCGTTGCCGTAGCCCTGGACGACGATCTCGTGGTACGGTGATTTGCGAGCCGCTTGGGCCAGATGGTCAGGCTGCCGCTTGGTAAGTTTGGTAGAGGGACGTCGGGTCGTCAGGCTGCGAGATAAGCTCCTAGTAAGGCTCCCCTTCCAGCTTGTCGCTCTGCGGAGACGTGAAGTTCCGTCTTTGGTTTCGGTATTTGTGCTTTCCTGGTGTGTGATGGCGAAGTAGTCAATGTCTGGCTTAATTTCGAGACTACGCTGTCGAGGAGACGCTTTTCGTGTAGAACCTCGGTCAGATGCGAAGTTTGGAGTGCTGCGAGTAATATGCTCCGTCTGTCTTCGAACGAGGGTATGCACAGGACGTTCACCATCCCACGGCGGCAGGTCCGCGGTCGAGATGCAGAGATGATATGGCGCATTCGTGGCGTCCCGGACTTGTGGTGGGACTTCCGTCGCTCGCCGGAGAGCCTGGTAGATGGTATAAATCAAGATCCAGCGGACCTTGCGACCGTCCATCGGCCCCAGATTTTCCAACTTGTCCGCTTTCGTAGGCGAGCAGATGAGATTGTCTTCGAACCGGCGGTATACTCTCACAAGCCCGTTTTTCAGAAGCTCATCTCTATGGTTTGTAGCTTCAAGCAAAGCTGCGTGTGTGTTCATCCGCCTGGTTTGGCTGGATTTCATTTGCTTGCCCAGCCATGCGATCTTCTTAGTATTTTCCTGTGCCTTGGGGAGAAGCGGAAGCGGATGGAATAGAGTCTTGAACTCATGTCTCACATCGAACCACCGAATGCTCTGCCACGCGCAGATCCCTCCCTGGGCCATGAACGGGCTGCTCTGAGTTATGTCGAATTTCTCGTCAACTAGATATTGGTATAGAGCTTCAAAGTCCGCCCTCATCGTTCGCAAAATATCTGCTTCGAATATTGTCGTCTGGGAATTAATCGAGGCGGGTGGGTAAAAGCCGAATTTAGCGCTGTAGAAGTCATGTAGAAGAGTCCGGAATCGTTCAAGATGTGCTTGGGCCCCAGCGTACAGCCCAAGATGTGCCTCTGACAGCTCGTTTTGAAGGAAGGTTCCTACCCAATTCGCACTCCGTCCCAGCCTGTGGTTCATCTCATCTCGGGTGTTCTGAATGAGATTCCGGCTTGCGGGGGATAAATGCTATTCACGTTAACAGACTTCTACCCAAAATGGAACATATCCACAAACCTGGTATTCAGATGCGGCAGGCAACCGATCGCTCATGCCACAACAGTGTGCGAAGGCATCAATATAAAGGTCCCTCAGTTGGAAATTTTCTGCCAGGTGCAATATAGCAATCGCGTGAGTCGGATTGCTTTTGAAATTGAGATATCCCTCCTCGTCCATATAGCCCATCAGGTCCTGAACATTGTCCACATCCTTAGTGCGAAACTCATACATACTATGCATAAGTGTAATCAGAGCAGATCCCAGGTCTTCTCCGACCATAGACCTACGAAACACATAGGCAACAAAATTGCGCGTTGCTAAGTAGTATTTATATGACTGCTGCTTATTTGATCGAGGAGGTCCTGGAATGAAGAGTTCAATACGACTCCGCCGTGCTGGGTCAACATTGTCATCTTGTGTATGGCCCGTTGTCGTCCTGACGTTTCGAGCCATAAATCTATCGATGAAGGGATAGCAATTTGCTTCAAGAAGTCCAGAGAAGGGCACTTTGAAAGCAGGGCCTCTACGGCTTTGCCCTTGACCGTACAGTTGAATGTAGCAATTGCCATCCCGATACCATAACTCAGGATCCTATGTAAAGCCTGTGAGATTTCAGCTCGGATTAATAGGAAAAAGTGTGGTGACATACCCTTTTCAAGTTATCCCAAGCGTGACTTGACATCGCGGCGCCATCCCATCTCGTAACGCTAGTCTTGCGACCCGTACGCATGGCTGCCAATTTGTCTGATTTTCTCGTTTTCCATCCACGCGATCGGTTCGAAACACCATTGTATAGTGATAGTTCCCGTGTGAGCAGACCGTCTGTCTGGTGTACGGGACCGGTAGCGGGAAGAGGAGAACAGCTTACGTCGGCCATCGTGAGAATCGTATGTTCTACTTCTTCTCGAAGATTGGCTCTCAACACTTAGACAACCAGTATAACCAACGTCCTAAAGCCTACCCCAGGCTTGACTAATCCAGAGTTACCGCACCGTTAGCTTCAGAGGCGAATCTGAGAAGGTCATAGCTGGGTACGTTGAGATCTAATGTTGTCGTAAGTCGAATATCTGAACAGACTGAATTATGACCGGCAAAATGAAGGATAGGTGTGGAGGTACCAGTCAAGCATTTCAAACCCTATTACGCTTTGTCAAGGTTAGAGGACAGCTGTGAGGATATATCTACGTCCTCGTCTACGTAAGCTCGGGCGTCCCAACTGCCCCCTATTCCGTAGCTTATTGCTTCGGGACCCAAAACATCTGCGGCGCTGTACTAGCGCAAACTATGATGTCGAGCGGAACCCGCTATCACCGTGCTAGGCGTAGTCCATTGACTATCCGTCGTAGGCACCATCTGTACCAAGATGTCGGATACCATGCCGGCTTTTAGTAGGCAGGGGATGGTGGGATCCCTGTATACCCTTACATCCATGATACCGTAATGATATCGTCTTATTCCATCATATGAAGTACTTTCCTCGTGTTATGTGCTCGATTAATGGACAGTTTCGTAATGATGAGAACTCTACTAAAGGCAGATAAAAATTCTGGCGAGCGCTCTACCTCTATGAGTATCTGGGACTGGAAATATCACGTATACGACGAATATGCCAAACCTCTCGGTACTTTCGTGAATATATAGTCTCGTGAAGTGGAGGTTGAGGGATAGCTCGGGAGATAAATTCAAAAAGTGACGGACCGTCGATGATATATGCAACTCTCGGTGCTCGATTGCAGATTCGGTGCATCTCCCATCGATTTCACAACCTTAGTTTATATATCCACTAGACCAGATGGGCGGATAGCCGACTTGGCTATCCAGATTAAACTTTGCTCAAGCAATTTGGCAGCCGACTAATCCATCGGTTACGAGATGAAGATGATTCATGACTCTTGAGTTCTTTGGGTGGAATACCTGCTGAGATGACACTCTCCCCGAATTTTAAGGATGACTAGAGAGTAAATAAATCGGGTAATCCGCAGTATTATGATTGATTGATGTGGAAGTAATGTCAGTGTTTCCCCGTGATGAAGGCATGAAACTGGCGTCGAACAGACCCACGCGATCTGTAGAAGATATTCTAGCTTTCGATAGACAGCGCGGTAGCGTCCATACGCTTTGACGATGGCATTCTGGAACGATTATGGTCGTTTTCTTTCCCCCATTTCGGAAAACGGTTAGATCGCAAGCAACGCACGGCCCGCACATGCAAATTTGCTTTTGATGCTATTAAATGACTGCAAACTATGTTCGTCGGCAAATACGTTGTGTCCCCTGACTCTCAAACACGTGGTCACGTAGCATCCCGTCTTCGTGACGTAACACCTGAGACGGCGAATAATTTCTGGGGCCGCCGTGCATTGGCTATGGCTGGATAACTATACGATGAAGGCTCCCCGGGAAGTCGACTTTTTACTGTTCTCAGGAATGTATAGAAGAGCTGAGTAGTCAACGATCGACGAGCTTCTTTAACGAGTTCGCCTTAATAGCTTGCTAAATATATGAAACTTCTCAGCGGGATACTGGACAAGAAGCGTTCCTGGATATCTTGGTACGGCTCTAGCTTAAAAATTTAGTCAGGGACCATGGCGAATAGCTTCAGGAACTTCCGGATACCAGAGGACTCGGCAGAGTACCTAAGAACCTGCATCTGGACGGTTTGGCCATGAATTTTCTCGATTTGCAAAAAAGATATTTGCGACAAGTGCAGGATTCGAACCTGCGCTCCCGAAGGAAATGCCTTTCACTATCTGGATGGATACTGGGAATATTGTTAGTCATTTTGTTTAGGAAGTTCGTGGGTCATAGTGGACTTACGCAGGGCATCGCGTTAACCACTCCGCCAACTTGCCTTGTATCCGAGAGGATAGCAAACGTAGTGGGTTGAGTAACAGCTCCGCTAACGTTGACTATATGCCGTAGCCCGGACCTCTTCCACGCAACTAGCCGTTACACTGTTGTGTCCATCGTTTGACTAGTGAAGGACTCCGGTATGTCTCTTATAGAAAATCATTATTGACATAGACTCGGTCTCTAGAGATCGCGTAGCTAAATAACGGACTATCTGAACATCTTTAAACAGCATTGAGTAGAGTCTGAGTTATGTATAAAATTATGCTGTAAGAGCTCATAAAACAGTTATGCAAACAGTCTTATCGATAAAAGCTCTAGCTTCAACCGAGCCAGGGGACCTGATCTAATACATAGTATAAGCATAACACACCGTTTGATACATACTATCGTACTTAAGCACCTAAGAGCCCTCCGAATTTCATAAACCCGCCATCCAAAAGTCAAACGGCGTTATACGTGAACGCGTCGTCGCCCAGAAGCAGTGTCCTCGGGTTGGTCTAGTGTCTCAATCGAAGCTTACAACTATTTTTATCTCGTTTTGAAGAGTCTACTGTCACTTTACGGTTGAAATATGCCGCCCCGAGAAGTCTAAATGGCTTCGTTTGCTCCCTACACATATATACAATGTCCCTGCCACGAGTCCGCCAGCCAGGGCCGCCCCCTCGATGAGACGCCCTCTCCCACTTCCCAAGATATACCCGACGATGACGACCACACCTTTGACCCCCGCGCGCCGCGGTCTAATTACAGTTTATATCCCCTCGAGTACTTGCTGTACTGCGACGTATGCACTCAGATCCGCTGTCCGCGCTGCGTTGCCGAGGAACTTGTAACGGTATACTGCCCAAACTGTCTATTTGAGGTTGGAAGTAGCAGTCTGAAGACTGAAGGGAATAGGTATGTATCTACAACTACCGAGATCTGACTCCCAGCGGTATCTGGGCTTTATACTGACATATTAAATAGATGTACCCGTAGTTGCTTCCAATGCCCGATATGCATCGGCCCGCTCGCCGTCCAATCCCTCGAATCAGCCCCGGACCCGTCCCTCCTAAGCGCCGAGAGCCCAACCACGCCGGTTCCCGCCGGGCCCTGGATCCTGACGTGCTCGTACTGCAACTGGAACTCGTCAGAGATCGGCGTCAAGTTCGACAAGCCGCAGGGCATATTCTCGCAACTGTCGAAGCTGCGGCACGGCGAGGACCACCACCACCAGCAGCACGCTAAGCACTCCACCTCTTCCGGCGACCTGTCGCCCAAGAAGAGCGACGCCGCGGCCCCCGAGTCGCACAAGGCCCGGTTCAACGCCATGAAGGCCTTCTACAACGCCCAGAACAACGCGCTGAGCGCGACGACCGCGGGGTCCCTAAGCGGCATGGGCGCGGGCGACTACGGCTTCAACTCGCCGGGCGCGTTGTCGCGGATCATGAATCTATACTCGGGCGGTAATAACAATAACACCAGCGGTGGTAACAGCAGTACTCTCAGGCCCAAGGCCAAAGCCAGCGCGATGCGAGAGGCCGACTCCGCGAACGAAGGCTTCCGCGTAGCGGACCTCGACGAGGAGGCCGCCGTAACGAAGCTCCGACGCGAGGGCTGGGACGCCACGGCGACGGGCGAGCAGGCGCAGGCGCAAGTAGAAGAGGGCGCGCGGTTCACCTCAGACCTCTGGCCGATCCCGTACCTGCTCCGCGCGAAGCGGTCGAAGCGGTGCCCCGTGTGCCGGCACATCATCAGCAAGCCGGAGAGCAAGGTGGGCAACACGCGGTGGCGCATCCGGCTCGTGGCCAACAACAGCATCCCGTCCATCTCCATCAAGCCGCTGACGGCAGGGCTCAGTTTCAGCGCCTCTACCGCTACGATACCGACGCCGACGGGAGGTGGTGGGCCCGGCGGTGGTGGGTATATCCTGAAGCCGCTGCAGCCCGCGCAGTTCCTGCTCACGTTCAAGAACCCCATGTTCGAGGAGCTCAAGGTGACGTTAGCAACGCCAGCCACGACACCGGGGCGCTTCGCGTCCAAGGTCACGGTGCTGTGTCCGGAGTTCCACATCGACGCCAACACAGACACCGACATGTACCTCGAGGATGTGCTGAAGGACGGGGAGAAAGGGGGAAACGCGGGACGGCGACGTCAAGGGGACGAGGGCACGACGCACCAGGCGGAGGCGGGCAAGATATGGGAGAGGGGCCGCAACTGGGTTAGTATCGTGGTTGAGGTCGTTCCCGCGTCGCTCCGCATAGAAGAGCCGCCCGCCTTGCTTAGAAAGGAGGGCGACCCGGAGCCGGACTTGAGCCCGCTGAGAGAAGATGAAGACATATTGGAGATACCCATGTTTGTGCGCCTAGAGTGGGAGGGCGACGTGTCGCAGGATCAAGTGGGCACCACGGCCGGCAAGGAAAAGGACACCAAGGAGAAGAAAGAATTGGCGTACTGGTGCGCCATTGGCATTGGTCGGATCAGTCAGGAATAACTACTGCATGCATGTACATAATCTACGATACCCCAAAGACGCACGGCTACATGCAAGTAAGCATATCGCGCGAGATAGGAAGACGATTCATTAATTGTGATTGTGAAAATTCATCAGAATAACCGGCTTGTCAATTAGTCCACAAGCTATCTAGACGCCATGCCAGTAATGTTTTTTTGGCCCACCGTGATTTGCCATGCCGTCGTTACCATGAAAGACGAAGCAAATGCCAACCTTCCCAGACCAGCCCAGACTACATCATCCGCTTATCCCTAATACTCGGACGCACCAGACTGGGGGAACTCGAAGGTGACGGTTCGGCCCGTCAGGCGGCGGTAGACCTCGGAGTAGGTGTCCAGGCGGTAGTCGACGCCACCACGCTCCTTCTCGTCGAGGATGACCTTGAGGAGCTTGCTGTTGTCCTCCTTGGTGCGCAGACGCTTGCCAACGATCTCGACGGGGTAGACGAGGTCGGTCAGGATGGCGTCGTGAACAGCAGTGAGAGTTCGCGAACGGGGTCGCTTCTGCTTAAGCGTGTTACGCGAACGAGCAGAGCGCTTGGGTCGCGGTAGAATGCGGCGCGAAGCGAGGATCAGGACATGGCGGTCGGAGAACTTCTTCTCGAGCTCACGGGTCAGACTATAGAAATTGATATCATTAGTAAATTTCAAAAGGCGATTAAGAAGTCACATCGACAAACTTACCGCTGCTGGACTCGGTGGAAGCCCTGTAGGGATGGGACGGGGACAAAGATGACAATTGCCTTCTTGCCGTGGCCGACTTCGATCTAATCAAGACCCAAAAAGTCAGCAGGCGAGCTCCAGGACACAATTTTGAATTGTGTTCCTTGGACCGCTTCCCGTCCTATTCCATTGATGTATATTTCTAGAAACATCCCTGTGCCATTCATTGTATTTCCTGACTTGTCCTAGTTGCGATAACCGTAGACAAGCCGTTTGTAGCAAAGAATTGCAAGATCGGATCGAGGAATAGGTATGGTTGAAGCGGTCCCAGGTGTCTTAAGACAATCGGGAAAAGAACTGGATTCATTGGCTTCTCACCTCTCGGGCAGAGACGAACTGCAGGGGTCGGAGGGCAGACTTGAGGTCGGAAGTGTTGGTCTCGAGATCGTAAAGAGCGCCAGCGATGCTGGTCTCGAGCTCCGACGGGTTCTGGCGCGACGGGCTGTTAGGCGCGATCTTGTTCAGAGCGGCACTCATGATTGCGGCTTTTGTTGTTCGTGAAAGGGGAACAAAGTCGCAAAGGAGAGTGGATGAATGGCTGTTGGTGGGTTAGTAGGAATTGAAGTCGCGAGGTTGTTGAAAAGGTTGCGGCTCGTGCTTGACAAGAAAATTCACAAATTCAAAAAATCACAGTGGGATTTACCGAAAAATCAATTTGGATTGTGGGCGGCGGGTGCTCGGGCCACTCAGGGTTTTCTAGACAAGCGATTACGCCGGAAATCTAGTGTGGCTAGTGCTACTCGTGTGGCTAAGGAGGTACCGCTTTGTCAGCTCAGATGCTCAACCTTCAACGTTAAAGTGCCACTTAGCTAGCTTCAAATCAGTCATCAATTGATTGATCACCGCCAAATGCACAAATGGCAAATGATCATTTTCCACTGCGGCCTACATCGTATCCGGGTCACTATGGCTTGCGGAGTACACCTCCATAAGACAATATCACGATTGTACTACCATACCATGCCAAAGTGTCGTTTCTGGTCAGTTGTAAAACACTCCCTTTCCGTCGACCGTGCGGATCACCTCACCTTATGCGAATTGCTACCTACTACTTACATGTAGGTAAGTACAGTAAGTATACCTATGTATCCATACACAAAAAGACATATCATAAAGCATATTTCAGAAGAAATAACCCTTTTCAGATATCGATATTTTGAGGCTGCTCTGTCTCGGACCGCCCCCAGTCACATCAATCACGTAATGAGGATCTGCGCCCATGGAAATGTTCCATGCGCCTTGAGATGGGGTCATTACCCAGATGGGGGTCCATGACCAGCCATCTCGCTACTTATCCTTCAGCTCTCGCAGCCTTCGCAGCCTCTCAGACGACTTGCTTGAAACCGGTGAAACCATTCCGGACATTGAAGTCTTCTTACCGTCCTAGCCGCGTCACACTGGCCGCGATGTTTGTTCCTGAAGTCCCGTCCGGTTGTATACGGATGGGATGGTGGTCTTGCAATAGATTTACATTACCAACAGGGAGCTAGCGATGGTATCTCAGTATACTCAAGTATCTCTCAGTATATTAATCGGTAAGGGATTAGGCTCTGTCCGGTATGAATTATGAAATGAAGTTCCCATCTGAAAGCCTTTTAGGATTAGGTAAGGCAGATCCAGCCTTCTGGATATATCCACCAACAACCATACGAACTTGTACTGCGCCCCAACATGGAGTCGAGTTGCAGCCAATTAGATGGATGTGCTACTCCTAAATTAGGATATTGTTGCATCGCTCGAATACATGGCTGCATGGTAAACCAACACTTGCTTCTTCCCAGTA